ATGAGTGAAGAGCTATCTCTGAAAACGCAGCGTATTTCTGAATTAGAGGAAGCTATCCGCGTTGTAGAAAGCAGTTCATCGAAGGCTCAAGAGCAGTTGGCAATGGAAATTGCTAAACTCAAAGTATGTACATTAACTCGTATACCACTATAGGAAGTATTGGGTTGATGCATAATTATTGCGGATTTTTTCAACAAATTTTATTCAGCGAAAACGAAAAAAATATTTAACAAAAACATGTTTAAATGATTACCCCGGAGTCACCATCCTTCAAGAATGCTTCCCATTTGCTTGGCAGTCGGTCGATTCCACGGGTGAAGAAGTCACGATTCTTGGAGACGATCCACGCTCTAACATCGGCCACCAAGTCATCCAGCTCGTCGTAAATTTTGTTCGTTTGCCAGTTTTTCAACGACTGATTGAAGTGGTAGTCTGTAGGAGCTTCGGTCGGTAAATATGGCGTTTTGAACCTCTTGAACCATCTTTCAACTTGGCTTTTGCTGATTGTTCCCTCGCCGAAAAGTTCGTTGAGATCGCGAAATGACTCTGCCGCCTTCCAACCTTTCTCGAAGTGGTAGAGCATATGTGGCGAATATGAAGATGATTTTCGATAAGCATTTCTGTTAATGAAAGAGAGAAGAATATTTTCATGAAAAAATAATAAACAAAACGCCAATCTTTTCGAAAAAAGAAGGCGCAAAAAATCCGCAATAATTATGCATCAACCCAATACGTACATCTGAATTTTCATATTGTAGGAAGAACTGACTGAATCGAAAGCTCTCGCTGATAAACTTTCCTGCCAGCTGGAGGTGAATCTCGTACGATTCCAGTGGAAGAATTTGAAAAGCAAATGACGGCTGTGCAAAGTTCCGCTAAGCTTTCTGAAGAAAACTTGAAGCAAGTGAGAGAGGAACGAGATCGTGTGGTCGATGAATTGAGCAAGGCGAAGGGACAGCTGCGCGAATTCGAGCATGATTTATCAGATGCTCTGGAGCGTTGTGAGGTCCTGACCGAAAAGTTCACGGCAGAAAAGAAGAAGCTCAAAGATGAGTTGGAGAATGCTAAGAAATCTGAGGAAAATTTGGTAAAGGAATTGTGGAAGGCTGAAGAAGAACGCGCCGCTAAAAGTGCAATTCATGATCAAGTGCAAGAGAAAATGACGACGTTGTTCAATGAGTCGCAAGCTCTGTCGCTGAAATTGGTCGAAGTGAAAGCTCAAAACGAAGAGCTACTAAAGGGAAGGGAATTGGCGGACGAGCAAAGCAAAATGCTGCGAAATGAAGCGCGATTAGTCAGGGATGAGCTAGTAGTTGCGTGTGGTCAGCGAGATGAACTTCTCAGGAAAGTCTCCGATTTGGATGCGGCTAATAAGGAACTACATGATCGTTTGCTTGCATTGCGTCCATTGAGGAACGTTGCTCCAGTCTTGAGGCCGTTCTAGAAAAGTCACAGAAAGTGTGCTGATGAAGCAGATGCTCTTAGAGAGCAGCTGGTTTCTAAGGATGGTGACATCGATATATTACGGGAAAGAACGCAGATGATGGAGGATGAATTGTTAGTCGCAGGAGCTGAAGCAGAAAAATTACGCGAGGAAGTCGAGTCCCTCACCAAGCAGTTAGTGCTCGCGATTCGTCTCTTGCTAAAAAGGTTTGTCAATCAATTTCTCTAGGTTTGTCAGATCTATTTTCAGTTTTTGTTTTTTATATTTGTTTTTTGTAGGTGCGAAACCTAAGGCCGTGTGTTGCATTCTGTGGATAACTTATTCAATGAAAAGAATGAATACCTATTCAGATGCGAGCGCCGAGCTTGTCCATCTTCAGTTACAATTGAGAGAGCGACAAGAACGAGAGAACGTCACGCATCTACAGTCATCAGTTGAGCTCAAGGTAGGGTAGAGATTATGTTTCGATTTCAAGAATGAACAATCAACAATCAGTCAGTATTTCAATAGTTAGTAGCTGGTAGCTTGTGGTTAGTGCGCTTGCGATCTACTAAGTGTTAGATTAGCTATACCATCAGTTTTGTAAAATTTTTGCAAAAATCAAAGCCATATACGAGCTCTAGTGGGATGGACTGAAGTTGGGGACTGGTGCTTTGGGCTGAGGAAATAACAGTTGAGGCCTCTCTCTCCCGCTATAGCATACAAATTTTTACCAGCACATGATGCTTCCTGCACTTATGTATATAAGCTGTCTCATGTTCCAGAGAAGCGAAGAGACGATCAGCCATCTGCGCGACGACAATGTTCGTTTAGAGCGTGAACTGTTTATAGCTCATGAGCAGCTTGAATGTGCAAAGGTGAGCATTCTAATCACATCTTCCTTTTTTGAACTCTTGATTCCCAGAATCTCTATAACTGTGATATTGCAGAATGAAATAATTGCCTTGCAACAGTCTCTGGACCGAAGCGATGCAACAGCGCTGAAATCGCGGAATGATAATCAAAGGTTTATTTCTACTATTTTTGGGAGAGCATTTTGTTTACTATCAATCAAGAAAATTTCAGAATTAAGTTATTTGGCGTTGATTTGCTTTTATTTTCTACTTTCATTTGTGCTTCTCCTAAGTAACTCATGCATATTTATCGAAATGTCGACTTTTCATATCTACTGCAATATCCCTCAGTTCTTTCCAGATTGGAAGAATGAGGGTGCTCTTTTTGAAAAGGAACAACTATAATCATGGCAGAGAAGGTCGAGACGCGCGCCTCGCCGTCCATCGCGCTGAAAGAAACTATCCGCAAAGCTGAAGTCATATATGCATGAGAGATGAAAACGGTAAGCTCTAGAGTTATCTTGTTCCAGTACAGTTACTTACTCCATTGCAACTTATCATGGTAGTGCTGTTTTATACATAGTTGCGTATTGCAGCATAATGAACGGTTTAGGCTGTAGAGGACCTAGATTCAAGTGAGCAACGACTTCGACATTTGAAAGATGTCGCAGAACAAGCCTGTACGCAACGAGATGATTCTGTCAGAAAAGTGAGTCCTGTGGAAATTTTTCTTCTACACCCTGAATGATTTTTCCATAGATCAATTGATCTGCTTGTAATTTTGATATTATTGAGTCTAACACTGGCTTAATTTTTTCAATACACTGTATAGACCGCAATGGGACCGAGTGGGATTGGAATGAGAGCACCCCTGCAGCCAAAACGATTAAACTTTATTCTCCGAAATTTTGATGGGAAGGAGGTTCGGGATTGAAGTGGATTGTAGACGACTGTAGCGTTTTATTGCTAACCTCCTATGTTGTTTAGGTCTCATTTCTAGCTACGTTATTTTGAGCGCTTATAGAGAAATGACCCTGAACGGTAGATTTTAGCGGAAAAAGTGTAGGTTATGGGGCTAGTATTGTATTCTGGAAATTATTTCTGCCAACGTAGTGATCGTAAAAAATACTTCACCCTGGAATCTGCTATCTTACCACTGACATCTCGTTCAGTCGCACGGACTGGAATTTCTTCTTATTTTTACTGTTTTTCAATATTGCAATAAAAATATTCAAATAGAGTTCTTTATTACCGCTAAATACACGTAACAAGGCACGTTCATGTTCTGCTTGAGTTTATTTCCGTGTTTTCAGATGGAGTCGTTGCGGAAGCGATTAGAACTGGCTGTTCAAGAAATAGAAAGTCTTACTCGTTCCAACGAAGAAGTACGTCACTTGGAAGCTGCACTCGAAAAGGTTAGTACACTTTCTACTTTGTACTTTGTCTGAAATGTATTGAATTATTAGGAATTTGATGTTTCCTTGGTAATGTGGTACAGTACCATCGAGTACTCTGAAATGTGCTAGATAATCCTATAATTATTTCGTTTTACGGAAAAGAAGCAGGTTTTTCTTGATGTTTGGCTTTTTTGCTCGACAACAATTTTCTGGCAAGCTTTTTTTTTTACTTAAAAAAGTAAAACTACCACAAACAACTAAGTTTACAGTAAACGGCAATAAACGGTCAGAGCAAAGAGTATATGCATATATAATTGCCTTTAATGGCGCCAAACTTTATCAATCCTTGTTGTCTCCCGTTGGACTTCATCTATGGGTTTCAGTTGACTGCGTACTTTTCTTTCATAATCGATTCTCATTTCCGATCGGAATGAAAAATCAATCTGCTATACGATGAGTTGTCTTCACAACGAACAATGCTCGACCGTGTTTTGGCAGAGAAAGATGCTCTTCTGGCACAATTGACAGCTCTCAATGGACAGCTTGACGAACGAACAAACCGGCTACGTCAGGCGGGGGAGGCTAAGATGGACCACAACCCTTTGCGGTAAAATTCTTAAAACACTATCTACATTTTGATCCAAGCACAATGTAATACAAATATTTTCAGAAACTATTTAACTGGAGTCGCAGATCACCGGCTCTATTTACGTGAACAGGGATACAATTGTTGAGCAAGATCCGGATAAACCATCGTGTAGTGGGCTTGAAGCGAATCAGGCGGCTTTTAGATTGATCCCAACAGAGCATGTTGCGGTACAAATAGAAAACGAGGTAATTGAATTGGCGTAATCCTCCTTATTTCATGAATTAGGTGAAATGAGTTCAGGCGGAGCATGCAGAGATTGAACGACTTCGGTCTGATCTGCAAAGAGCGGAACAAAGAATCGCAGAGGTGCGACTCCACTAGATGTTAATAGTCAACTTTTCAGTAGCTCTTTCTTTTTCAGCTCGAGGAATTCGAGAGGAAGTGTTGGGGATAACCATAGACTGCTTCCTGAAGCTCAACATTCGTCAGATCATGCGGACTTCCTTGAGGTTGATTTTATTCCACACTGATTTTCTGTAGTGCTCGTTAAACCCGCGTTCCGACTCACCGTTCGAGAAGATTGGGGGAGGACTAGGGAGTAAAATAATTGTCGAAAGAGACGTAGGGGATTAGAAAATTCAGTAGATTAGATACATATTGATCGAATTAATTGGAGATAGAAGATCCGCAGACCCTTCTGTACAGTCGAAACGTTGAGTATGAACACGGCCGTGGAGTTGTTCATTTGGTCTGCTTCATTCTTGTGAGGGTGTTTTCACACTTCACATACCTCTGTTTTGAAGTGTATCAGAGTAAAGGATGGATATTGATCATGCGCGCGCTAAATCAATAGCTACTGTAGCGGTCAGTAGTTTTCGCGCAGTGTTTTTTCTCATTTGAAAGCGGCGGTCGCTTTCATGATAAGAATTTAGTGCACGAAAAACCGACCCAGGAAATATTTCAGATCGCTGCTTCCATAGAGCTGGAACGGGTCATGTGCAAGAGTTGTCATAAAAATCGCATTTTTGCTAGGCGGGGTTTAGTTTGAATTATCAGGGATGGTTGAGTTATAAAAAAGAGCTGTATTGTGATCCGATTCAAGAGCAATAAATTTTTCTTTTTCAGTGGCCACATCATTTTATCTCGGCGTCCACTCCGTTGCCGTCGTTGGTCACCCTTCTGTCACGTCGCTTGAGCGCACTGCGACATCGTCCATCGCGTGCTGTACTGCCTCTTTTCCGGTACGCAATGGTTGCTTACGCGGTCGCGCTTCACATAATGCTCATTAATTGTTGGGTCTTCTCGATTTGTTCATGATGCTCTTTCCTCTCCATCTGCTGGGCATTTGGAGCTGTTTCTCGCCTTTCGATGCGTTAGACGACTTGAAATCTCCTATATCGTAGTAATTGTGAGGTGGAATGTCTTCTTG